GKTWWTTWWTTWRRARRAARRAAAAATAGGAGAGGTGTGGTGGTGGATGCTGGAATTCTAGCTACTCGGTGGCTGAAGTGGGAGGATTTTGAGTTTGATCCCAGCCTGGGTTAATATAGAGAGACCCCAAATCAATAAATAAACACACAAGACTGAAATGTATCCCCATCTCATAGAGTAYCACAAAACTAATTATAAGGGACTGGGGATATAGCTTGGGGGTACAGCACTTGCCTAGCATGTGTGAGGCACTGGGTTCAATTCTCAGCACCACATATAAATAAATAAAGGTCCATTGACAACTAAGAGAAATATTTTAAAAAATTACAGGAGGATCAAAACTTTTAGAAGCAAATATAAAAGAATATCGTTATGTCTTCAAAGACGAAAGAACTTCTTTAAGAATTCCTGTCCATTTCACCAGAGTAAAAAGGTCGTCCACAAATTTTAGAGAGTAATTTTATAACATACAACTTAATAAAGGATCAGTAACCAGAAGAATCACTATACATTCATAGAAAAAGACAAATMATCCAATGGCAAATGCTCAAAAGAGATATGAGGCATTTCATGCATAAACATGAATGTATAATAAATACGTTCTATGTTCAAATGGCTAGCARGTTTGGGCGGCAAAGCCCTGGGTGATAATACTTGAGGGTATAAYACCATTATGGTTGATTTCAAGCCAGCAACCTGATGTCACTGAACATGGAGTTGAGAAAGAATGCATGCTGTTAATTCTCACGAGCCAGTGTCCACTGGTCTTCACATATCACTATCAAAAGGTCATTAGCAGGCAGGGAAATTCAAATTAAACTATAATGATATAAAATTCATTACACCTACCAAATTGATAAAAATTAAAAAACAAAGGGTCAACAAGATTATGGAGTAAATGGTAATTCTCATTCATTACTGGTGGGAGTACAAATTGGCTCAAGCACTTTGACACACAATTCGTCATTTCCTAGTAAAGTCGAATATGCAATTATCATCCAACCTAGCAATTCTACTCCTAACAGGATCTATGTACAAAAATRTTTTCAGCAACATGATTAAAGCATACAGGGGCTAGGGATGTGACTCAAGCTGTAGCGTGCTCGCCTGGTACGTACGGGGCGCTGGGTTTGATCCTCATCACCCCATAAAAAAATAATAAAAATTAAAGATGTTGTGTCCACCGAAAACTAAAAAATAAATATTAAAAAAATTCTCTCTCTCTCTCTCTCTCCCTCTCCCTCCCTCCCTCCCTCTCTCTCTCTTAAAAAAAGAATACAGAATAATAGAAGAATACAGAATAACTGGACTGCCCAATGAATATTGAATGGTTAGCTCTACTGTAGTACATCCATGCAGTGGAGTTAAAAGAAAGATTAAAAACATGAACTAGGAACAGATTTCAAGCAGATGAACTGAAGGAACAAAATGTTGAGTGCAGAAAGTTAGAATGATGCATATGTATATTTCTACTTAYACAAAGTTGATAAATAAGCAAAACGAAACAACATATTGTTAAGGAATACACACACAGAGAAGAAATAAAATTATTAAGAAAATGGTAAATATTAAATCCAGGAAAATGATTTTATTGGAAGGCAAGGGAAGGGAATACAATTGGAAAGAGACATTGAGGATCTTCAAGGGGATTAGTAATGCTTGAATTCTTAATTTGGAGGTGAATGAAAAAATGAGGCAGGAGGATTTCAAGGTCAGGTTCAGCCTTGTCAACTTAACAAGATCCCATCTCAAAATAAAAAATAAAAAGGGCAGAAGATGTAGCTCAGTGACAGTACTACCATAGGTTCAATCCCCAGTACCAAAACCTACCCCCCATCCAAACACAAATAAGTAAATAAATAAAAAAGGAAAAAATCTATAATGAAAAAAAAAGAAAAAATCTATAATGAAAAATAAAAGCTTTGTTATAAAAAGAATCTGTCTTTAAAAGTAAAYATTTAAATCYTAATTGTGAACATCTTGGTTAATGTTTCTTAAGTAATCTCACACAAATAAGAAAAGTTTGTTTGTTTTTTTCTCCYTCATTTCTCACATATAATGAGATTGGAAAATGTGGACTGTTGAGATGCCCAAGTTTTACAACTTTTCTTTAAAAAAAATTGTTTTCAGAGACAGCTTCCTACTTAGTTTAGGCTCTTATTAAGGGATGTCATGAGACCCCCATTATACTAAAGAGAGAAAGCTGAATTAATTATATTAACAGGTAACTAAGCTTTAAAAATATCAAATAATTTTATGTAAACTTCTTGAATGTTATATTATTAAAAAAAAAAAAAAAAGAGCTAGGGATGTACTCAGTGGTTGAGTACTTGCCTAGGAAGGTCCTGGTGTCTCTCCCTACCAGGACTTAATTTTTCCCTCTAAAAGTAATTAAAATTAATTACAAAAATACTTTTAATATTTTCATAATCAGGTAAAGGTTACATAAAATAATCACATATCTGTTTTGGGGAAGTAAATTCTGGGTCAAAAAATGAGAACAGAAGTATTGCTGCTTTCTCAGGTGATGTGTTTCCCCCTCTGGCCTTGTTACTGTCAAAGGGAGATGGGAACTTCAGTCTTCTTGTGAAACTGGTTTAAGTGGACCACTGTGAGAAATATGTTAGTGACTTATGAGCTAACCAAAGAAAATTTTGCTTTTCTAAAGCTCATTTCATTTTCAATTGGTATATTTAAAAAAATTAAAACTCTTTTTATGATTAAATAAAYATTCATAAATTATTCAAATACACATTATGTTCTATTGAAAGGTGAATGGGTCAAAGGGATCAATAACTATTATATTCATAACTGAACAACCCTATGAAGTTATAAAGTATCTATTTCAATGTATTCAATTTTCTTCTTCATTGAAGTAAAAATTATTTGTCTACTATAGTTTTTGAAGGTCATCGAATAAATATATATGTACAATGTAAAAACAKCCACATAATAAAAAATTAACATAAAGAAAAGTTTACATTGCCTTCTGAAAAACATTTAGTATTTTGCTATTGAAACTGAGGAGTCTTCTATTGGAGCCTGATCTAGTACACCCTATATCTTAAAAACAAAACAAAACAAAACCCAAACTCAAACTAGTTTTTTTTTTTTCCCATTAATTATCTTGGGTCTTGGGCAAAAATTCTTTAACTTTCACACTTCCCTAAGTGCTYTAGTTAAAGAGCAAAACCCATCCCTGATATCCCCTCCTTCAATCCCCACAAAACAAATTAGCAAGTTCAGAAAGAGAAGGAGAAAAACCAATGTAGTCAATTAAATGTTAAATAGTTTSAGGATTTAATGCTTGAACTGAAAGTTGACCAATGACCCAAATAAATTTGGGGCACATGCTTTTCCATCCCAAAGCTATCCAGATAAAGGCAGCTCACAACCTTCACATTACCTCCTCACAGCACATCATCCTATCATTGAATAATAGAAGACAAACACTGACCTAGTTTAGAAGTGCAGATGAAAAGAAAATGAAAACAGGATACACGACAATGGCAGGGAAACCATGGTAACTAGGAGAGAAGTCTGTTTTGCTTACTTTATTTTGGTCAGAATAATCAGCAAGCTGAGCCTTCAGCTCTGTAATCTTGCCTTCTAGCAGACGGATCACTTCTTCATAGTCCATTTCCATTCCATGGGCCTGCCTCTGCGCAGCTTCAGCAAGATGAATACGACTTCGCAGAGCCCTTGTTTCTTCCACTACAGCTTTGGCTTCCTGCAGATTTCAAAATTAATGTTATAAAAAAAAAACAAGTAGAAAATAGTTAAGGTGATCTTCACAAAGTATTTTCCTAATTCTGAAAGTTATACTTCCAAAACTTAATACACTTATRTTCTTCACTTCTGCACTTGAAAATTAATATTCATATTATTTTATTAGGTGGACTAGTTGCCTGGTCTTATACTCTTCCTTTTTGAATTCTTGGAAATTTTTCAGTATGAAATTTCTTACTTTACATACCCTAGTTAACTTTTGGAAAATAAGGGAAGTTGAAAAAAACTGAAGATGGAAAATAGAAGAAAATGATTCCAGAGATGGGTTTTGCCATTTGACTCGAGCACTCAAAGAAGTCTGAAAGTTCAAATGATAAAATAAGGCTATAACAAAACTCAAGGAGGGGATCTGGGGTTGTAGCTCAGGGGWAGAGCGCTCACCTAGCATGTGTGAGGCCCTGGGTTTGATCCTCAGCACCACATAAAAATAAATAAATAAAACAGAGGTTTTGTGTTCATCTACAACTAAAAAAAAAAAGAAAAAACTAACAAGAACAAAACTCAAGTAGGTGGTAGAGGGCACATGTTCTTAGAAGGCTCTTGCAGCTTCATTGGATGCTGCTGGGAGATTTATAGCCTTATAGCGTGGAGCTTCTTCGTGGACCAAGACCAGGGCCCAAAGTTTTTTTCCTATACATTATTAGTCTGTTATGTCTCACTTTTGATTTAAGCCCAAAGGTGTAATTTTGTAGCAAAATCTGTAGAAGGCAATGTTCACAAGATAATTATTAAATACTGTTTTATCTCAGGTGCTTTGACTGWATTTTTTCATTTAATTTTTAGATCTACATTGGGAGGAAGGTATTATTCAAAAACTATTTCATACATAAGCAGAGACCTAGAGAAGTTACATATCCCATTCTAAGACACACAATAGTGCCAGAATTTTAATCCAGAGTTGCTATTGACTCCAACATCAACACTCTCCTTTCACCATTTCACTCTGCCTTTAAATGACAAAATAAACTTAATGAAAATCCCCATTACACTAGTCACACTCTCACCCTTAGGAAGAGGTCAGGGTGACCAGAAACACTCTCTTGAAATGTGCCTTGGGTCAAAGATCATTCTCCAGGACACCAATATAATTTAATGTGGCAGTTATAATACTGTAAACCATTTCTTTTTCTTTACTTGATGCAGAAATCTTTCTTCTCTGCAATGGAACTTTCTGCTCCAATTGCTATGGCTAATATTAAACTATGGCTATTTTAATTTTCTTGGAGCTGTTATGAGGCACTTGCTTTTGTTTGAGCTTAAATACATTTGAAGTGCTGAGAGAGTTAGGAATGTGGACATATTCTTAAGGGTCAGTTTTTTACTCTTACATTCAGTAAGCACTTATTAAGGACTTAAGTGTCAGGTTTTGGGATAAGCAGTGAACAGTATAGACAGGACCCTCCCTCTTGCTCCTCAGAATTTGCATCCTAGTTTAGAGAGACAGACAGCAGGTTAGGGATTTTCAGTGCAGATTGCATTGGGGAGATGCTTGATCAGAGACTTGCAGAAGGGCTGGAGTCATGATTTCCCAAGGAGGAGCTTTCTGGGCAAAGGGAACAGTTTGTGCAACTGTACTGAGATGGGATTGTGTTTTGCATCTTTGGAGAAGAGCAAGGAAGCCGGTGGATAAGAGATAGTGAGTAGTAAGGAAAAGGAAGGGAAGAGTAATGCAACATTAAGGGCAGAGTGGTGCCTGGAGCAGTTGTGGGGATGGGGTTGGAGTGGAAAGGCAGATCTTAAGGGGATTTATAAGCCATTAAAAGGGCTTTGGTTTTACTCAGGGTGAGATGGGAAGTGATTGGAGGGTTTTGGGCAAAGAAGTGATCTGACCTGACTTATCTTAAGAGGATTACTTTCACTGTTATATTGAGACTAGACTGTAAGGGTGGGCAAGAGTGGAAGCAAAGAAGAAGAAAGACAGGCAGAGCTAGCTGTGACTTGAACAAGGGCAACAGTAGCAGAGATGGTGTGAAGAGGTTAGATTCTAAATATCTTTGGAAGCAGGGTTAACAGGTTAGGTCATCAATAACATTTATTAGGTAGCTACATCTAGACAATCATGCTATGTGATAAAAACATAAAGAGGCAAAAGATCAGTCTTGCTCTGGCTAGCTTAAAACATCAGGTATGACTTGGCTACAAGGAAGAAGGGAAGAGGGTATGTTAGGCAAACAAAACAAAACAAGAACCTGCACCACAGCATAAAACAGAACATGAACAAAAGAAGAGAGGCAAGAAGGCATGTGGCAAACTGGAGAAATGGTGCTGGGTGGGTTTCCATTAGAGTAACAGATTCCTATAGGGGAATAATGATTTAAAAAAATAAAACATCTGGGGAGAGGGCTAGRCTGTAGCTCACTGGCAGAGCACTTGCCTAAMATGTGTGAGGCACTGGGTTCGATCCTCAGCACCACATGAAAATATAAATAAAATAAAGGCATGCTGTCCATCTATAACTATAAAAAATAAAAAAAAAATAAAGGCTGGGGAGAGGGCAGGAAAACATCAGGGGCTGGTGGAAATGGCACAACAGGCAAAGGAGTTTGAACCTGGGGCAGCCTTGTTAGGAGAACGTGCATCAGAAAGTAACACTGGCAGCAGGTGCAGGATGGAGAGCTGTGGCCGACCAACCACACCCTGGCACAGAGAGCTTTATTTTCTCATATCTACAAGTAATTATCTCATAATAGAGTGTACCCTTAGAAAGGAATATCTGGAAGGAAAGGGGCATCCATTTAGCCCACCACATGTCAGTTCAGTCTAGGAGATCAGGAAAGTCACCAGGGACACAGCTGGGTCAACTTCACACCAGACAGTGGCAGTGCACACAGGCGCTCACGGCTCAGTGAGCCAGCCCTGCTCTAAATGTCTTAACTGTCAGCTCAGCTAATCTACACTGTGTGATATGAGGTGTGTCGACTACTCTCCTCGTTTTATACAAAGTACAGTGAAGCACAGAAGGGTTAAGCAACTTACTCAGAATCACAAACACAAAAAGTGACAGAGCTAGGATTCGAACTCATGCAGTCTAGTTACAAAGCTCATGTTCTTGGTCACTATACCATACTACCTTGCACTATAGAAAATGTTAAAATAAAAAAAATTGCTTATATGTGACAAGATCATCAGTACCAGCCCTGAATTAGCTTAGGATGTGGTCATTAGAATAGACTCAAACACACCTGAGGCTGCTACGCTGCTCCCCATTTTCCTTTAATCAAGCTAAAAAAAAAATAAATAAATAAAATAAAGCCTCTGAAGTGAAAGAGGAAGGGCAGAAAATTCACCATAGCTGCAATGAAGAATAACTAATTTGATGATTTGTCTCCTTCACACTCACTTCATGAAGCTTTTATTCCTCTATAAAAACAGCACTTTTATTTTTGTTCAAAGAATGCTAGTTAATTAAATGAAGAATCTGGATGGAATTTATATAGCCATTATAGTGCACTGATGGTAATACAGTGTGAAATGCAGTCGGGTGGTAAAAGATGCAGAGGTTTTGATGCTGAATAAATTCATGCCATTTCTTTTGTAAATGTATAACTGTCAGGCTGGTGAATGTGACCCCTTAGCAAAGTTCTAGCCCAATTCCCACTGAATGGCTGTTTAAAAGATTAGTGCATTGAAATGATGACTCTTAGAGGAAGCAGTAAAGAAAAGATAACAGCAGTGTGCCGTATTTAGCAATACAGGATCACATCAATCCATTTTCTCTTTTCCTCCCAGGCTGTCTTCTAATAAATAACTGCAAAGCCCTCCTGTGTCAGTAACATTTGAGCCAGAATTCTCCCAGTAGCTCACCATGAGCCTGAAATCCCAATCAGGGCAAATTCTACAGTTGACTTACTGATGTACTTTGTATCAGGTAGAGTTTAATTCAGAGTACAAAGTTAGATAATAAAAGAAAAACTAAGATATAAGAGTAAATCAGAGAAATCATCATAAGCATAAATTTGTAATACTAACTAGTATGAGCAAATGTGATAGAAAAGAATCTGGAATTATGAGGTAAAATCTTTGACTTTCGTTTTTTCTTTGGTGACACTGAAGAAATAAATGCCTTTAACTCACACTGTTCCTTTGTAAAATGAGGGTTTGCCACATCACAATTTCACAATGAACCTTAAAAGAAGATCAGACCAAATTCTTCTTTGTTAAGATAATTCAAACTAATGAAAAATCTTTGTAGGCTATAAATACTTTGGTCTTAGCTATATGATTACATTGGGATAAAGGACAGTATAGGCTCAGACAAAAGAGGGTATACTAAGGATTTTCTGTATATATCACTTTCTCCCACAAAGCAATGGGATCTATAATTAAAATAAACGAATGAATGAATTAACTGAAAAACAACAACGAACATTGAACTGGCAGTRCTCAATGGTAGAGTGCTTGCCAAGAATAAAAAAAACCACCGGTTTCAGATGAACTTATCTAGGTCAGTAGCTTAAATTTGTGACTTTTTTTTTTTTCTTTTTCATTTCCTGGCTGAAAATTCTCTAAGACTCAGTTTGCTCAGTTGTATAATGGGAAATAACACCTATCTTATAAGATCAGAACAACTGTTGCAGGCGGGTTAAAGAAACTATTGCAGTACTTTGTACAGTCCCCCCSCCCCTTTTTTCTTTACTACTTTGGAAAAACATACATAATCACCTTAGTGATCAGAGAGCCGAACTAGATAATTTAAAGGGTTTTCCTGAGGCATTCAATTAGTAATACCAGCTCTTGAACTTTAGAGAAGTTATTTGGAAATATAATTTGCACGTCTTTTTTAATGTTAGCAAAAGTTATGTAAAACCCTATCCTCTCTAGTTATGGGTCCTAACGGCTCCCTAAAGTAGAAGGAAAAAGCATTAACTGCACTTGCACATTTGTAATTAGGGTAGCACATCCACATCCCTTACCTTAGAAGTTCTGTAATTTTTAAGCTCA